CCAAGAGACAACGTATTATGAAAACTAATTAATTGCTTTCCAGTAATGAGAAAACTGTTGCCATTTGCAAGAACTGGAACCCACAAAATATAAGAACTAAACATTGTTTATTGGGAAAAGGGGGGGGGGAAGAAACCCATCCTACCTCCCAGTCTGACTGACTTTACCATTTGTTCACATCAGTTACAAACAAACCCAAAAAGAGTATCATTGGCATACAAACACAAAGAAATATATATGGACAGGTAGCAGACCCCGTGCGGTCAGCAGCCACAAAAATGCAATCCTAATTGAAGTGAAAAACTAAAGCAGTGCTTTGTAGTTGCCTAGATTTCCCAGAGGGATGAAGAGTCAACGCTTATCAGCCTCTCTCAGAAGAGACAATTTTGATTAATATCAGGCCCATCTGACTCAGTCTATTAAACCCTGGAGGAAGGATATTCTTCAGATAGAAGAGATACATCTTTGATTAATAATTCTACCATATTGTCATTCCAAGCATTAACAACTGCCTGGTACCTGTGGCAGTAGGAAAGTCTTTGAATGCAAAGGGAGAGGGGAGGACCTGGATCATGATAATAGAAGCCACCTGCACTCTAAAACTGGGGGAGGGTGTGCCTGGGGTCCTATTCTACCCTCTCTAAAATGGAACCCATCACTAGCCTTTCCAGAATGAGGGAGGGGAGAATCAGACATTTCACTATTTATGTCCAGCCCCGCCTAAATAAAACAGAACCTCTATACCAGGTATAACCACAGGTCCCAGGGCAGAATGTTGTTTTCTCCGTGACACCCCCTCCTTCATCCAATGGTAGCACTCAGCCACACTTCCAAAACACAGGAGGCAACCGAGTTGGTAGAGAGAGCTAAAAAGCAAGGCGGATTTTATGCCAAATGGGGCTGTCCCAAGGTGGGGAGAAGCCAACTGAAACCTGTGTTTCAAGATGTGCTTTAGATAGGATCCAGCTCTGGCGGGCTGCTCACGCAAGTTATACATTGTTCTTCCGGATGTTCATGATCAGCCTCTTGCTGTACTCCTTGTGGTTGACAGGCTTCACGTCCATTGCCGTAGCCTTCAGGCGCGATTCGTCCTTGGGAGGAGAAAAGTTATCAGGTGAGGGCAGAGACCATGAGTGGGGATACTGTATTATTAGCAATTGCCTGATATGTCAAACCGCTTTCTGTCAGCCCCTAGCCTGACCCAGTGATAATCACACCACCTTCTACAACAGAGAATATAGATCTCTAGTAAAGCATTGTTTGGAGGTGAAAACAATGCTAACAATAAATAGTTCTCTGCCTTGGGCTCTGTAGTGCATGAATCTCAGACACTCAGCAGTGGATTTTGACATTCATAAGATCAAGTGGCATCCTTTGGTGCAAAGGAGAAAGGGAGATATCCTTTATGTGCTGAAGTAGTAATTTCTTTACTACACTGGCTGGGAATAAGGAAAGCCACAGAGCCTTTGTGAAATGTGAGTGGACAGAATTCTCCAACAAAACTGCAGGATGGCTAAAGGATTTTACTCTATTTTATTACAGATTTCTGGATGAAAGTATTTTGTACATTCTAAAACCAGAGAGTAAATTTTTTTCTAATGTCTCATCTGTATGGCTGTTGAAAAGTTCAGCTCTCAAAAGTGTCAGATCCTCCGTCTTAGTCTTGAGCGCAACAGGTAATGCAGTAGACCTCAGCCAGACATGTCTCCTAAGGGTCCCTGTGATCAGGGTCCAAGCCATACAATCAGCAATGTGTTTTGCCCTATTAATTCCATTTCAGTAGCTTTACGTCCTTGGTCTATAAGACTTGTACAAACTTTTCCTTATCATCTGCAACACACGTTCCTAGAAACTATCTGGTAACAACCCGCAATGGCTCTCTGCAAGGATAGGACAAAGGAGAAATGAAGTTTCCAGCCTGGTAGGTAAACAGAGGCCCTGGTCACATGGGCGGGAGGCGTGGCTAATTGCCCCGGAGGAAAATAACACGCGGCAGCCCAATCAGAAGTCCTTTCGAGGTCCCGTAGGTAGGCGTCAGGTGCAGATCAGACGGCTAGTCCGCAGCACGGCAAAGAAGCAGCACGGCGCGTTCAAATCGGCACTCGTGCCGCGCGGCTCCTGTAGCAAATGCCGCTTCCTGTTCGTGCGCATGCTCCATTGGGTGCTTGTGCGCATCCTGCGGAGACTTGAAAAACACACCCTTTTTTTTGTGACGGGACATGGACGGGTGCCAGATGCTACGGAAGTCCACCGGAAACGCGGTCAGACGCCCGCCCTTGCCCCGCGGTTTCCGGAAACTAGTACCTTGTAGGTACTAGTTTTTAACTCCGCACCTTTGGCGGGGAGCCACCGGTTCGCCACGGGAGCACTGCGCTTCCAAGATGTTGAGGTGAGATGAGATCACGCCCGGAAAATCCGCGGGACTCACGTGCCTCTCCCACGGCAACTTTGCCATGTGACCAGGGCCACAATGAATCTTTTGTTTTGAACATGCTTATCTTACAAGCAGTGGCTGGCACTGAAGTCAGAATCCAGGCATGGACCCACTGAATGCTCAACAGTCCTTGCTTGACAGGGAATGCTATAATTCCAATGGTTTCAGACTGAAGAATGCAAAAGACAGGGTCTGGAGTTTGTGATGCCAGTGTTTCACTCTTGACATCAGACTCTGCATCACGCACTGTAACCAGATCTGCTATTGTCTGTGTGATAGTATACCTCATCCTTTGGAAAAGAGTTGTGCTACATGGAACTGATGACACCTTTCTTGAAGATAAATTCTCCAGAAGTTAGGTCATGCAGTATGAAGGTGAGCCTCTGTAAGTCTGTCTCTGCAGTCCCAGTTATCTCCAAAAACAAAGTAAAGTGGTGAACTGTATGCAGAAAAAACCCCCACTGTCTAGAGGAGCGCTGGCTCCAGCTACTATCTTTCAAAATGTCTCTGTTGAACACCTCCCACACGTCCCTTGCTCCATCTTCATAATCCTTTTCCTCTTGAGAGGGGAGAGGATTTGCACATTGCAGGAATGTGAATGTCCTCATTGTCCTTCTCTGAAACTGAAATAATGGTTCCATGTACATTAGGACTTGGGCCCTCAGTACTGGTAACAGACCTCTCCAATCAGTTTGTTAGGAGGATCAAGTTTCTTTGTGGTACAGACAGAGCAAGATTCTCTTGCTGTTCAGTTTGTCTTGCAAAGACTTTTATCTACACTTAGATTTAATCTTGGTCTTCAATGCAAGAGGCTTAAATTAGCAAGAGGCTTAAATTAGTTGGCATCACTTCCCCTCACGGTTAGACAGGTCAAAGTGCCAGTCTTCTTAGGGGTCATTCGGCATTTGTAGATTCCAATCTGGGAGCCAAAGCAGACCAGAAGGGTTGGTCTAAGGGGGGGGGGGGGTGCTCATTCCTGAGGCAGGGATAGCATCTGTGCCAGCTTTGTCCCAATAGCTGCCTTCAAGACAGGATGTGCTTTGAATCCTTGCTTTGGGTGTAAATGGCCTACATGTGGAATCTCTAGAAACAACGTGTTCTTAATCCAGACAAATGATGCACAATGCATGATCATCAGATTATACCATTTTCACCTCACCTTGTGAGCATGCTTTATGCACTAGGAAAGGGAAGCAAAACTTTACTCCTTTCCTCATGCATATCCTCAAAAGAATCCACACACAGTAAAGGACCAACAAGAACTCTCTGATGTGTCTTCTCTCTGCAGCAGTAGAGAAAACTGAAGGATGAGATGGGGCTCTCTCTCCCTCACTCAATCCAAAGGCAGGAAAAACTGTCAGAGGGAAGGAGGAGTGCCTGGCACTCAGAATAAGCTTCAGAGGGTCACAGCTTTCATGCACAATTCCCTTGTGGGACAGCAGGGAGATGAGCAGGGAGAGCAACTATTCCGCAGAGCTGTACACAGACCTTACCACCAAAGAATGCTGTGCTGATAGGTTCGCCTTTCCAATCTGTTGTTTACACCAACCACATCACCGGCATGCTGGTTGGGAGAGAACTTGGATTTGATTCTACATAAGCGCGGAGACTTCTGTTTCTTTTCTATTCTGTTCTAGAACAGCATGTGGGTAAATATTTTGTTTGCATGTGCTGGCAATATAGGCAGGCTGTGCTGCAGAGTGAGAGGCAAATGCCCCACCCACCAATGAGAAGCAGAGCTTGCCATTTCATCTTAATATATGTGCTGTAATAAATGGTGCATGGGGAATGGGGAAGAGACTACGGACAGCCCAACAAGACATGAGCAATCAGTGCTCTCTTGACGTCTTCCATTAGTGACTCCACCCCTTTCCAGATGCTACTGGGCCCCAGTGGGGGGGCGGGGAGAGATAGGCAACTGTAACTGTGTATTTAAAGCAACTGAGGTGCTTTCTCCCATGAGCACGAAATACGACAAGGGGTTGAAAATCCCTGAAAACTTCATTCCACAAGTCAGGGCAGCGGGGAGTTACAACTGAAAATGTATTTCTCATTAAAAACAATGGAATCTAATAATTCAAAAACACAACAGTAAACAAAAAAGTATTTCTGAACATATCCCTGGTTGAAGTCACTCCAGATATAGAGCCAAGGATCTGCTCTTTTATTTTCTTTTCTGCAGACAGGTGCACGCACATCGGACTTACATTAAAAGTCTCCAGCTTAACTCGGATCCGGAATTCATAGGTAGTGAAGTTGGCTTTCTGAATTATCTCATCAAAAGCATGCTCATTCTGTTAAAAGAAAAGAAAACACAACAAGTAGATGTCAACAGGTAACAGTGAGCTTTGTAGAGACACTTTCCAAGTCCATCATATCTTGGCGGGCCAGGGGGAAGGGGACAGGACAGTAAAGGCAAGATAATGATTCTAACAGTGCAGAACTATGGCATATTATGCCTTCCTGTGGGTCGCATCCCTAGGTTTAGAGTTTCTGATGGGGGGGGGGGGGAACCTAGCATTACTATCCCAAAGCTCAGAAGCCTCCTTCTAGGACATGAATCCAAAATCCAAAATGAGACATCAACCCCAGGGGGCACGAGGAGCTTCCCAATGGCAGCCAACCTTGATGCTTTCTTATGATCACTCAGCATGCCAACATGGACAGATGTTTTGTCGTCAGGACCTTATTTGCAGCCATCAGCCTTTTGGTGTATTGCATAAGTCATGTCCTGAAACGTCAGTTGTTTGAAAGGGGACAGGTGCTAAATGCCCTTTTGTTTTCTGTGAATTAAACTGCGGGAGGGGGGGTTGGTTTTCAGTGCTGAAAGAGAACGGATGAACCTGCAGTTTAAATGCTAGGTATCAGGGTTCAGAATAAAGGAACCTGGTTCATGAAGTAAGCAATCTCTAGAGTCTTCCCAGTATAAATTTCTCCCTAGGGCTAAAACCAACCTGATTTCTGCCAGCTGTCACGTTGTTATGCCACTCCAAGGGGATGGCAAAGAAACTCATGGTTCACCCCTTCTCTAGTTCAGTCTCACTACCATCCTGTTAGGGCAGGGGTGAGTGGTCTAAAGTAACCCGATAAGCTTCAAGGCTGAATGGGATCTGAACACAGCTCTACTCCAAATGGCCATTCTCAGTCATCACATGATCTTGTGCTTTATCTCCATTCCACCCTGAATTCAGAAGGAAGTCTTGTTGCCTTGTAAACTGTGCTCATTTGCCTCAGTGACACAATCCCAGCATTTCAGGTTAATGACCAGGCACTGCCATGCATATAAAACCATTCCGATTAGACTAATGTGGGTTCTTTGGGGCAGAAAAGATCAGCATTTCTGAACCTGTTTAGGTCGAAATCCAGCACCTAATAAAGTAAAAAAACGAGGCTTCTCACCCACGTGAATAATGCACCAATTGCATCTCTAATATTGTGGGGGCAGGGGGGGTGTCTCAACTTTTATTTTCTTATATTTCTAATTTGAACAGATTGTTTGAGGCTCCGAGAGTGTTAACGGTAATTTGGAACTACCATAATGTATTGACAATACACATACAAATGTACAGCTAACACAATTCCCAGACATCTGTTACTAACTCCTGTTCTTTGTTCTTAGAGAAGGAAGTTAAAAGAAAGGCTCAATTCATGCCAGGATTCAGCACTGCAGAACTGCATTTCAATGCAAGGGCCAAGTTGGAATTAGAGAAAGCAGTGGTTCACTGTGTACGCAAAGTGCTTTTCCTTCACCCCAAGGAACAGTGGCCTGTTCCCAAATACACAGAATTAAGGAGCTGTGTTTTACAGATTAATCAGCAGGGCTCCCAGGCAAGCTTCAGTTTCGGTAACGCATTTTTCGAAAATTAAGCATGAGGAATAAGAACCTCCATCTTTGTCTTATTTGTGTGAAGTTTAATAAGAAGGGCCTGTGTTACCCCTTTTATCACATGGACAGCTGTAAAATTCCAGAGAACTTTGGAAGACGACATGATCACGATCTTTCCTATGGTGTGGAAGTGTGAACCATGCCCTTAACGTGTCTAGGGATGCACCCTGCAGATGATGAAAGCAGAAAAATCCGGTCACCCACAGACAAGGCAGAAGTACTCAAAGGGGAGGGTGGATAGCCACAACAGGGACTGAGTATGCTTCTGGAGGTATGGAACAAAGAGGGCATCCGAGTGCTAGTTACAGAGACATGGGCGCCAGCTCAAGCCTTGCAGAGCTCAGAGAAACCCAAAGGGGGAACTCTGGGATAAGAAAGGATTTCCATATTGTACTACTACTACTACATTATCATACCCCCCCCCCAAGCCCTCCTATAGGAATAGAACTCCAGGAATAAGTAAAAGCTCTGGCAGTGATGTTTGTATATGGTGTGTGTGTCTGTGTGTGCCAGCAGTTAGGAGATAGCTGGCAACAGATGAAAGTGATGGTCGGGTTGAAAAACAGCAGCGAACTACTCATAATTGTGGTGGATTTTGTGAAAGAAACACTGAAGCATTTCCTTATCAGTAGGCTGGAGGATATCCTTGTATGTGTTACTCGTTCCACCCATCCAAGAGGCAGGGCTGTGCTACAGAGTTGCAGAGACCTCCTATTTCCAGTGGAAGGAGGACCACCGATTCATAGGTTGCATCACAGAGAGGAAACAAATCCTCCAACTTGCTTAACTAACTCCACTAAGAAAACTTGTGCTCCACCCAGGTAGCAATGGAAGGGCTTCCTGTTGCAGGGACTGAGTGCTCGTTTCTTCTTGGCAGCTGATGTGCACTTTCGTTGTCCATCAAGATTCTAACATGCTTTTCTTCCACACTGTATGAACACATGAAGGATTAATCTGATGCTTGTGACTCGAGCCAATTTATGCTGTGTGCTAACGGTTGTGGACCACTTGCCCTGGGCTAAGAGGCTGAGACACTGAGCCCCCCCTACTCATCAGGCCGGTGTACGTTAACTCGATTGGAGTTGGGTCTCTCAGTGGACTGACTGTATGAAGTACTGTCTGATGGTTCTGTAATTTCTTAGGCCTCGGAGAAGCTATTAACTTGTTGGAGAGCATGTACATGAGCTCTAATTTGTACCCACTGAGAATTGCTTGATGCACCCAAAGATCCATTATGGACTTTCCCCAGGCTGGACAGAATCTTTTGAGGCTTCCCCTGATTAGTGGAGGTCTGGCAACGTGCCTGATAGAATTTATGTCCTGTTCTCTGGCTGGTGGGGAGTAGAAGCTGGGCTGGAGGAAGAGTGGGATTTGGACTGGAACCAGTCCTTCACCTGTTTTCAGAAGATTTAAAAGTCTTACTGTCTTGGCACTCCCTGGATTCAAATTGGGAACTGTAGCAAGGAAAGGAAGAGATTTCTTGCCTGCGCAGTTTGCAAAAATATCACTTGGAAGTGGAGGGTGTGGCATTTTTCTGGCCCTTAAGATTGTATTAGGATCTTGCGCCCAATGCTAAATCCCCAAATAATTTACCTCCCTTAAAGGGGGCAGTAGAGGAATTACATTTGGAACCTTGATCTATGCTCCAGTATTTTAACCAGAGATCTCTTCTTATCACTCTCGATCTTTAGGAGTCAGCTGAAGGTTTTATTCAGGACGGCATTCAATTAGTTTAGCTTTTGTGCTCATCAGCAGTTTTAAATTGCCATTTAATATGTTTTGTGTATCTTCACGTTCTACTTACATTGTGAACTGCCTTGAGTTCTGTAAGGTAGGCAGGTGCCTAATAAATGTTTTAAATAACTAAATAAAATAAATTATCACAGGATTAGCAAATTTTAGAAGATTACGGCACAGCCTGACAGAGAAGAGCTACATGACCCAGAGTACAACCACTCTAGAGGAGATGACGTTTCCAGCTCAAGCTCTAATTGCCTAGGAGAGTAGCCTCATGGACCTTGCAAGGTTAATCTTTTTGCCTCTGGGTCTTTCAGACCATCATCCCCATTACCAGGAACCAGCACCAAGACCAGATTCACTAGTGGTATCCTAAGGGAACCCATAGTACAGCTGAAGTAAGACTCATGTTTTAAGGGAAACTGAGCAGGAGCCTGTTATCTTCAAAGGGATATGAGTTGAGGCAATGGACAGCCAATTCATCCTGGCCTCCCCTGCTTTCACTGCCCGCATGGTCTGTACCGCTGCAGTGCTACTGTGCCCATTCTGACCAACCCTGCTTATGAGATCAACAAAGCATTACCAGGTAACAGGTTGCTGAAGTCCCGGATTAGCTGTCGTCTTAAATTTGATTCGTAAATTTGTTGTAATTTGTTAATCTGGATCGCTACTGTTTTTAATGTTTTAATCCTATGTATTTTATTGACATGTTATGACCTGCCTAGACCCTGCTTGCAGGGGAGGGTGGGGTATAAATCAAATAAATAAATAAATAGATGGAATTAGCTGGGTGTGGCAAGCTTACATTTAGGGATCATCTGGGGTTTGGATGAGATTGCTTGGCATGCTTGCCAGGTAACTGGAGAATGGTGAAAGTGCTTGCTAGACGAAAATCCTCTAAGCAAAAGGATCTAAAGGAGGACGCACATGATGACTGGACCTCATCTCCTGACTTTTCTTCTAGTCAAATTGCCTTGTACAATGACATGAGAAATGTGCTCTTTCAGATTCTGAAGACTGCACCATTACCTCTTGTTCTGAAACACAAGGAAAAATATCACTTCTGGTGGGCAGGGAGAACTATTGTCGCAAATTCGGAAGCTGCAACTAGTGCAGAATGCTGCAGCCAGGCTGTTGATGGATCTTCCTAGACGAGATCACATCCAGCCTGTGCTGAAAGCGCTGCACTGGTTGCCAATAGCGTACCGGGTTCGCTTCAAAGTGCTGGTTATTACCTTTAAAGCCCTATATGGCCAGGGACCAGCCTACTTAAGGGACCGCCTTTCCCCACGTTCCCCCAAGAGCACTACAGTCGGGGAATCAGAACTTACTGGATGTGCCAGGTCCCCGGTCCATCAAACTCGTCATGACCAGGAACAGGGCGTTTTCGGTGGCGGCTCCTATCTGGTGGAATGAGCTCCCAGAGGAGATCAGGGCTCTGCGGGGCCTAGCACAGTTCCGCAGAGCCTGCAAGATGGAGCTCTTTTGCCAGGCTTTTGAATAGGAGCCGCCATCGCCATTGTACCACCAACGCCCCAGGATTTCTGTACATGGTCACCATGATGCGGGCACCTTGGGTGAGAATGGGACGTTTTAGGGGACGGCCATCTTGTTTTCAGGAGAGGAGCACCAAAATTTGTTCATTACTGTGATGTATTTTAATATTTTAATGTTTTCTATGGTTCTATTGTATTATCTGGCAATATGCCTTGTAAGCCGCCCTGAGCCTCCGGGGAGGGCGGGATAGAAATGTAAATAATAAATTGTGCCCCCAAGAGCAAGAGCTGCTTGTATGAGCTGTGATCCCTTCCCCTATAAGTACTATGGGGATCTGAGGATCTCCAATCAGAACCTGAGAATGTTCTGGTTGTTTGGTCCTTTTGTTGGCCCTTTTCCCTGCTATGACTGGGCTGGGAAAAATTCAACCTGTGTTGTCTCACAACAAAGAAAGATAGGTATTGTACAACATTCCTATATCGTTGAGGATGGTGACTGATAACTAGGAAGGCAAACTTTTTAAAAAGGGGGGGAACGTTCTGAATAAAAAGAACAGAGGACCTGAGACATTTATGCACAATAGTGTTAACAAGGGAAGTATTCAAAAAATAACCTGAATTTTTATAGGAGAGAGAAGAAGAAAATCTGAAGAATTATGTGCTTATCAAGCAGAAATAAAAAGCATAAACGAATACAACTATGTGACAGAGTTTGCTGGGAGAGGTGCCGGAGCACATGATATGCCTTGATGTTGGAAGTACTCAGAGCCCCTCAGAATGCTTAATGTAGCATTTATTTTGACATAGGCAATTTGATACCTGTGTGTCAATATTGCTCAGCCAAACATTTTGAGATAAGTGGGTGATTATTACGACATAAGCTGTCACAATCGAAAGGTCATTATCCAAGATTTCTACAAAATGTCTCTTCCCTGGTGAGAACCCTCATTCGCAGAGTTTACTGCAGAGGATTCACCAATGTAGCAGCACACTCTCACTGGTATCTGTGGGAGTCAATGTCAAAATTCCACCTAGGCATGAAGTATACAGTTTTGAAAGAGAGGAAACAACGTATTAGAAAACAACAAAGCCTACATCCTGAACAACACTAGTGCTATCCTACAAGGGGAGGGAGATGTATCAAGAAGAGAGGAAGGTGCAAGACAGCCAGACCATGAATGTTTTGGGAAGCATTCACCTGCTTTATTTAGTAGCAATGTAGGTGGTTTGCACCAATCACAACAATAATAAAACCAATGTATCTGAAAAAGTGTGCGTGCACACAAAAGCTCATACCTTAAATAAACCTTTGTTGGTTTTAAAGGTGCCACTGGACTCTAAAGCTGTTCTAACAATACAACCAGTCCACCTACATTTAAGGTAGATATTTAGGGGACTTACCAGGCATGCAAAGAAATTACTGTACCACTTCACCAAACGAGAAACAAAAACGCAGATTCATGAGCACAGTAAGTGTGGAATGCTAAGAGCAGCTGACAATGAGTTAAATGGAAAGGGGTGTGTATATGTGTTTAAAATTGTTCCTTCTTCTTGGAGTCCTACACAGGCTCCCAAGCTCATATGACATCTAATAGTATTGGCTGACCCCTACCAATCATAAGAGCAGCAGAACCAAGCCACAGGCGAAGCATGGATTTCTTTAAGTGTTTGTGTGTGTGTGTACTACAGTTAATAAATAAAAAAAATGACTATTAAGAAGGGGAAATCCTGAACATGCTTCAGGAGGCACAGAATGCTGAAGCAGTTGATAATAATAATTTAAAAAATGAAAAAGAACAGCCTCGAAAAGGCATAGAGCAGTATGAATGGGGTGATTTCTCCATGGTTCATCCACTGCCCCACAGGCTTCCCAGGTTCAGCCCATTCTTGTCAAGCAGCAGGAGAGGAAGGCCTCTGACAAGCCTCCTCAGAACGCCGCAGCCACGGTCAGCATATCAACACCTAGGTGGTGAAGAGGAAACAAGCGCCCTGAAGCTCTCG